GAGAAAGAGAGGGAGGGAGGGAGACATAAAGAATGTCTACAAAGGCAAAGCTGGTGTCTGACTTAACGAGCATATCATTTCATTTCACTACCCTTAACATCAAGCATATCCAGACCATAACAGAATAATTAGCTCATCGTTGTAGACTGTATCACAGGGACGGCAGCCTAATAGAATAACACTGGAGCTCTTGTGCTGTGATTGTTCTACAGCTTCCGTCAGAGCGTATGTGATGCCGTACCTCTTTGCTGATGAAGGAGCTTGACAGAGTAACAATGGACCAGAAGAAAATGCCACAGCTCAGGATGACCTTTCTGTTGAAGCGGTCGCCCAGGTAACCGAAGATGGGAGCTGCCACCATGAAGCTGCAGATGAAGACTGCAGAAGGAAAAAAGGAAAGATAATAATGTTACTGATGGTGTAGACGTGTCTGTTTCAGTCTTGGCATTGCATGGATTTATTCTCATGGATATATCTATTCACAGTATCAAGTGTTACTACATTGCAGTAAAAAATCCACGAGTTACTAACTAAGCAGCAAGTATTTCAGCTTTCAGGTCCACTTATTAAGCCAAGACCTGTCCAGATCGACTGGGTGATAGCAGTCAGCCAGAGACACAGTGAAGGACTGCCAGAGGACACCCCCATTCAACTCCAACCAATTAGGATTCTATTATACCTCAACTACACTCACTACAAGAAACATGGCGAAAGAATATTAAATACAGATGATACAGCGCTAGAAAATGTCACTGTGAAAGGTGATTTGGGTTGTAAAGACTTCAATTTGTAAAAAGAAAAGAGGAGGAGAAGCCAGGAGTTGTACAAATGTAGTGCCCTACAATCCAAGGATTGCAGGAATACTAGTTTGGAATACAGCCAAATATAGTAGCTCTTAAAAGAGACAGAGGGAGAAAAAGAGGGCAAGACAGATCCAGGATTGTATTTTGTCAGTTTGCTGGGATCAAACAAATTAAAAAGGTGGCAGAGGGGAAAGAAAATGTGTCAGGGTTTTATGTATCATTGCTGGAATTACAATAAAACTGACCAGATGGAAGGCGATTAATAGCAATATATCACCAGCACGGATTCTTTCTCACTTTCTTCCAGGGAGAGGACCATGGTGGCTGTGTGGCCATAAATAATTCCTCCATCTTAATTCCTTACAACCAAACCTATGTCCCAGTGAAAGAAACACCAGTGCTTTAAAATGTTTTCCCCTCATTGCCCCACTGCTGACTGGACAACCAGGCTGTTGTTCTCAAGGCTTTTACTCAATATTTATGAGGAAGACCAACTCAAAGAGACCTACATTTTTAATGCTCTCAAACCGAGTTTTATGTCTTTGCAGAGGAGAAAGGGCAGAGATGTTACTCTTGACAGCAGCGAGGGGAGCTGGGGAGTGTTTTGACACATCATCAGCATAAACATACAGAAAGAGGAAGGGAGGAGAGGAGATGAGAGGGAGAGGAGAGGAGGGGGGTGTTATATAAGACAGAGGCACCACAGTCCCACAGCTGCTGAGGCCAACCAACAGGATAAGGGACAATAATCAGATTATAGCATAACTGTAGTTTTGAACACGTGATATTACGGTATGATAAAAACAAAAAAAATAAAAAGATGTCCTTTTGTAACCCTATTTTGTGAGAAGAGTTACGCAAAAAAGTGTAAAATCATCCCACATTACTCTGCTCTAACTTTATTTTATGTACACCATAACAGACCCTTCACCTTTGTTATATTTTTATATTTTCTTTTAGTTTACATTTAAAAAAAAACAACAACTAATAAAATATTAAAAGATAAAAGAAAATAGACCCACATTGAAACAAAAAACACCTACAAAAACAGCAGCAACATGCACATAAAAAACACATCAAATAGTACATGGTTCTGGGAGACCTTCAGATTAAGAGCACCTCTGTGAGTATGCTTATTTTTTTTTATAAAACTTCAAACAACAGATATTCTGCACTGTACAATCACATTGCTTGAGGAAATGGATAGGGCCAGTGATTCACACATTTTCTCCACGTTGTTCAATAAATTCTCAAACATGATGTCAACACCACTGGATCATTTTCTAACCTGACAAATAAAATGTGTTTTTTACAACCTTAGGCAAAAATGATTTATCATTTCTCAAAATAACCCTCACACAGTTATTGTTTAGTGGGGTAGGTAGCCTTGCTTTAGAAAAGATCCAAAGAGAAATTATTAAGTCTAAAGATGTAAATTAATATTACAATGATATATTAATAAATATAATGTCAAAACATTCAGCTAAACTTGATATTTTATACAAACAGACATTCTGGTAAAATACAGCTATCCTCCAGTGACCCCAATGTGCCATTTTGAGAAAAAGAATCCCATTTCAGAAAGTGAAAGGTAATCTAAAATCTAATTTAAATCTAATTTGAATTATTATTAATGAATGATACAGTTTGGTTTCACAGGGGCTGGGATTACTTTATCTGCTCATTAAAGATAATGAGTCTCTCCCACCTCATCTCTACAGTATGTTTCCCCTCTCTACCACTCAGCCTCACTACTCTCCTGTTCTGTGTCTCGCTCTTGTTGCCTGCATTTCCTTCCTTCTCCCTCTTTCTGCAGCCTCCATCATGAGCATTTATGTGGCTAAGTGCTGCAGGTCTATTGTGTAATGCTAAATGACTCTGATGACTGCTTAGTGCAGGTCTGGCTCTCTAAAGAGCTTTACCAGCTCACCCTGCAGCCACAGCACCGCTGAAGAAACCATGCACACACACACTACACACACAGAGCATGGTGTTGTGCACACTGGAGATAAGATGAGGGAGAGGTCCACAACCACCCACCACCAGCTGGTACCACATAGGTTTTAAAAGCCAGGGGCCCAGGGATCATTACTCGGCATGTCAAAAATACATATCCTCACATCATTAACTGGCCTATTGTAAGTCATTAGCAGCAGGACCACACATCACCAGCTTTCTGTGTCTTATTTCATGTAATTTTGTGATTTTTTTGATAAGCCACACCATTTTCTTAAGGCCCATTATCACCTTTTAGCAGTGTCAGCACATGGGAATGAAGTCAGGTCTTGACTGTGTGCTCGCATTTATTTAGTGTTAACTTTGCTGCTTATTAACCCGGCAGCTTTCTGAGCAAAGGAGAGGAGCTTTGTGTTCATATATATTTAATATCCTGCATGTTTGCTCTGAGTTTAGCTTTAGCGTAAGCATAGGAGACACTGGAGAGAGAGACAAAGGTGTGTGTGAAGTCACAAATTTGACACAAATTACTTGTGACTTCACTTGGACTTGAGCCTTTTGACTTTAAAATGTTTGATACTTCCCCCAAGCCCAAAGAAGTACATTATTTAAAAAGTGAGCCACCAATTGTTTTATTACCCTTTAAAACAACTAATATTAATGCTATTCATTCCCAGCGAATCAGCACTTAATTCCCCAGATCCACTTTGTTTGAACCAATCCGACAGCATCCAATCAAGTTGCAGGAGAGAACCAGGAAGAACCATGAACTGCCATTTGGAAAAAAAATGACACCCAAGATAATTTCTCAACTTCTTGGTGTAGAACAACTGTCCAACCCAATGGTATGTGTTCGTCAGATAAACATTTTCTCAAGAAGCTGCTTTGAAGTGACAGAAAAATTACGAACTTACGTCACACTTGAGTTACAAACAGATGCTTTGTTCACCTGACAAGAGACATAAGGGAATGTTGTCAGGTTGTTTATTTTAAGCAAAAACAAGTACGCCCTTTTACAGAATCAGGGCGCATTAGTTTTAATATTATTGAATTTTCTCCTATCAAATTCTTTCTAAGTTGGCACTGACAACCCTGCTGTGCTCTAAAGATTTGGATCGGGAGAGGTTGTAGTTCTCTTTGACCTAAATTATAGATCTGCAAGAATATAAAATATTTGAAACAGGCCTTTATTTGAATTTACAAACAGACATCATATCTCCTGCAAATGCCCGACTACATACATTGACAAAACATACTGTAAGGCTTACATAATCTACAGTATAATATGGATTCACAAAGGAGACACCTGGTTCTTTTCAATCTATGAAAATCAATAATATAATCTTTCATGGTTTCATTTTCATGTATTAATCCAATGTTGACGTACAGTTGGAGTAATCTCCATTATATAAGACACATGCTGTCACTAGGACAAGATGCACACTGATATTGCATGTAACCTTTATGGAGACTCATCTGCTCCCAGGAAATGCTCTGTCACTACAAAGACTGTCTCTAAAACGATCCCACTGTTCTCCTGTCAGTCTCCTTCGAAGGCTGTAAACCTACGAGGGCCCAAATAAAGAAATCTGTCATTCTTGGAAACAATGATTTCCTCCTCCGAATGCAGCTCATTTTGAGGGATCCGGTATGTTTCCTTAAAAAATAAAATAATGCTCAAACACTTGAGACTACATCACAAGTTAATTATGGTATTTATTTAAAAGACATCATCAGGTTTGAAAAAGCATCATGTTCTTACGGAATGTTATGCATGCAGCATAATGGGCAGCGCAGACCTGGTGTAAGATATGTTTGGCTTCATTAGTGAGAGTGACAAGAAAATAAATGTGTTCAGTCTATTTCAAGGCATCACAGGAAAGACAAACAAAGCATGACTAACAATAAGTCTTCACAGATGCCAGGTCATGCCCAAAACTCTCAGTGCAGGCAGTGAGAATTGATAGGAAAAGCTTAATTATTCATAACTCAATTTGCAGAGGATGTGTCTAATTTTGCGGTCTGAAACACCTTGAATGGCCCTGTTGAACAGAAAGTTGGCTTGTGTTTAAATCAATGGACAGGTTTAATTGACAAAATAACTCTTAAATATGAAACATTCATCTAATGTTGCCTGTCCTCACAAGTCACATTCCTACGGTGACCACTATTGTCTCTTTATTTAACTTGTTTATGCAGTGGAACACCATGAGGCGACTTGTTTGTATGATCTCAACTGTGCCATCAGAGATAAGCCCTGGCTAATCACCAAAGATGGCAATCTCTCATAAATAAAGTGCATATGTAACAAATATTCAACAGGAAAAGCCAACAGCGAGTTGGTGTGTGGAGCAGAAGCACTCTGTGGATGTTTACACTGCAGGCCAAAGGGGAGGAAAAGTTTTCATAACCTCATTTATAGAACAATGGTCAGCTTTGACTACTCTTTCAGACAGTGACTGACTCAAGCTGCATTTTCAGTGTAGTAGAAGCAGAAATTCCTTTTACCATGAAGCACCAATTGATGCCTCTAAAAATACTGTACAGTACTGATAATGTTATTTTTACAGATACAACAAAGCCTTTTTTTATAAGGCAGGATGTATTCCTGAAGCAATT